CTCTCTCTCTCTCTCTCTCTCTCTCTCTCTCTCTCTCTCTCTCTCTGATTAATGAAATCTAGGCAAATCAAATATTAATACTATGTAAATACCAATCACAATTAATTGCTATTAGATTGAATACCAATTATAATTTATTGCTATTAATCTCGTCGTCTTTTTTTTTTTTTAATTATCTCGAATGTTAAAATCAGCATTTAAATGAGAGCCACTTTTCAGCAAAGGTCGCCCGTTGTGCGAAAAGAATTTCCATTCGATTCTTTTACAATGACAAATAAAAAAACAAGCGAGCATAAATTCAGTTCTATAAAGTTATAAACCGACGATTACCGAATCGTCGAAGAATTTTAAGATTTAAAAATATACAATTATTCAACAATTTAAATATAAGTTAGACAACTCCGGGAATTCCCAGCTTATTTCGCTTTATCTGCTACAAATTAAAAAAAAAAACAACCTTTTTATTATTAAATTCCTCGCTAAACTTAGAATCTATTCTTTTTCCTCAAACTTAAAACTGAGAATAATGTAGAAATTGATGTATAAACAATAAATATTTATATTTAAAATATCAATCAAATTTTGACTAAATTGTTAATTTTTTTATTTTCCTAAATACTTTAGCTATTTTTGTTTCGGACATATTTAAACATGATAATTGGAACCTGGCTATTATGTCGTAACTTTGGAATGTTGTCTTACGTGCGCGAAAGAAAGAAAGAGCAACTGCTCGTGCGTGAACTGCGTGAATCCCGGAAGTAGAGGTTCCCGACCGTGCCGGGCTTTCCACTTCTCGTAAGCGATGACGGCCTCGCGAAGGCCGCCGTTATCGGCGATGTTCTCGCCCAAGGTCAGTTCGCCATCAATGTAATCGTCGACCTATGCAAGACGTATCATTATCGATATGCTCAGGTCGTTCAACTCCTTGAAACTGAAGCAGATTCTTGCATAAAAATTAATCCATAGAATTAAGATATAACTGATATAACAGAATATATATATATATATATATATATATATATAAATTGATAAATATATTTAAAAAGTATCACTCTAATAAAATTATATATTTTTTAATTAAAATTAAATAAAATTCTTAGAAATATATCTGTTTATTTAATATTTGAACTAATTGTTCCGTCATTTTTTTATTTTTTCAAAAATCGCGTTTTATGAAATTAATTTTTTAAATACTAAACGCTTTATAAAAATGTTACTAAACTTGCCTCGTTCTCGTAATATGTATTATAGTGATCTATGAAGCATTGAGTTCTGTCAGAGTACTCCGAGATGGTCTCATTAGTCCACCACTGCCGGAGATTTCCGTCACTGTCGTAATGCCGACCGCTACTGTCGAATCCATGAGTTAATTCATGTCCAAGTATCGTGCCGATGGCGCCATAATTTAAGGCCCTGCAATTATTAAAAAAAAATTACTGACTTTGTCACTATAATAATGACCTCACGAAAAATTCATGCTTTTTACTGTTTATTTTCTACTTCTATTTTTCATTTTTGTATCCGTTTTTATATTATATCTCTTTATATATAAAAATAATCATGAAGTAATTATTCCTATTCTTACTCAAGACCCAATTCATAAAATGGGAATTGAAGTATTCCGGCAGGTATGGCTGCGTGAATAGTGAAAGAAGAGAGGCTGTATTAATATAACATTAATAATAAGCGGAGAACATCTCAGTCTTTTTCAACTGAACAGATTATTAACAGTGTGTAACAAAGTTAAATTAATCCGTGTTTTTTAATAAATAAAAGATTAAATTATTACATACTTATATGATTAAGTTGAAACGTGTGGAACGCATTTACATCGGTAGGGTCAGTTGCCCAGCTGATTATCCATAATAAAGCAAAGCATGAAGAGAAAGAAAACTTTAGCATTGTTTTTTATTGACAATTCTCGAAATTTTTCACTTACTATGACTCATTGAATAAATTATCGTCATGTAGTCTCGCCAATGTGGTATTCCATTCCAATCGAATAATTTGAATCATGTTCTCCAGGTATTTCGTTTCCGATAGGTCTATCTAAACATTAACAGATCGATGTTATGCAAAATATCATGCTTACATAATGCTATTGTATTATGTAAGATAAAATACATAAGATAAAATAAATAAATGTACATATAATAAAAATTATACAATTAAATGAAACGTTAAATGTATTTTTCAAAACAGATTTTTTTCCACAAGACTTACGCCCTTATAATACTCGTTAAGTTTCTCCTCGTTAAAGAGCCACGTGGGAAATCCAATTTCAGATCCCATTTTCCGACTTTTCTCGAGTGTCGCCGTTTTCGTCGATTGATCCATCCAATTCGTCTTAATGACAAGCGAGGCGAACGCTTCTCTTATGTCTTCTAGCATTTCCAGTACTTTATTGACTTTGTTATTGTGAAATGTGGGGTCTACGAACAGCCATGATACCGCCATTCCTGCAAGTCGATGATGAATATCATTGAATAATTAAAAGCATCCAAGATATAGCACAAAAATATATTCATTAAATCTAAATTATAGAAAAAAATTACATGTCAACGTATTTATTAAATATATTATAAAAAAGATAGTTTAAATTTTAAATAGAGTCGCTGTACATACCCATTAATTCATTGGCAACTGATGCACAGTGCAACGACTTGGATTCCGCTACCTCTACCTCTATTAACTTATTCACGTACTCGTTCCAAATGTTTCTGAGCTTTTCGGAACAGTGGGGCGCCACAATATCCACAATAACCCACCAAATATAACTTTCTAAATTAAAAATAAATATTAGATTTTAGAAAAACTTTTTTATAAACTGGTTGCCAAAATTAAATATTGATAACAAAAATAATAAAAGTAGTTAAATTAGAATTAGTTAAAATTCGAAGTATAGGTTCCAATGGAAATCCGCACGAATATAGAAAACGGGCTAACTATGATGCGCGAGAGTTTTATTTATCCCCCCCCCCCCTACACCTAATTAAATCTACTAATTACCACATGCCTCAGTGGTCGAATTGGTACAACACCTTCATGGAATGAAGGAAGTTGCAGATTCGAACCCTGGCTGAGGTAATATTTTTCGCAATATTTCTTTACAGTTATTTAGATGCATATAGCATCAAAAATTAAATCGAATCGATTTAATTAGGTGTAAGGGGGGGATTTTACTACTTCAACCGGAGCTGTGTTTCAAGTCTGACAAATCTAGTCGGCGCGCAGTCAAAGGTTGGAAAATATGTAAAATAAAAATATAAATAAAACTTTCGCGCATCATTTACCGCGCTTGGTTCTTATAGTTAGCCCGTTTTCTATATTCGTAGAATTAGTTAATATATGCTAAATCAGGAATACATACCGAGATCTTCCTCCTCGAAAGAAGCCAATATCAATGCAACATTTTTCAAGTATTCCAAGTTGCCGATGAGAACTTTATCCTTGTTATCAAGATCCAACGTAAGGATCCCCTCGAAAAGTGATTCAATGAAAGGGCGCCAAATCGGTTTGGGCGTGAAAGATGAATTACTATCCATTATATACTCGTCCGTCAACTTTTGTAGATCGTCTACCAGGATATAATCGTTATCGCTCAAGTCTTCCATGGAAATACTCTGATTTCGATTTGCACGAACCACCTGTAAAACAAATAAATTTTTATTTTTTTAATTAAATATTTTCCCAGAGATATTTAATTAATATCTTTGGGGAAATATTCAATTATTCCCCCAAAATATTTAATTAATAAAATTTTGCACTTAATATAATAGTAATAAGATTTTTACTTTGCCCATGCGAAAACATTAGTTTAAAATTGATTTAGCCAAAACATACTTACGTAATAGAGGAGGTTGCTAACGTTGTAAAGCATCTCAACAAATTCTTCCAATTCATCTCTATATATCATAGATTCAGCCTCCGGCCTGCATTCATTAACAGTGCCATTGCTGATGACTTGGTTAATAATATCAGTCATATAGATAAGTTCGGCGTCTTCATCCTCGCTCAATATAGTTTCATCTAAATCATCTAGTTTTCGCAATCGCGATCTGATGATTTGCAACCGCTTCTCCAATTCTTTATCACTATTATAAATATAATAAAAAATTTGTTGTTACATGTATTAATTATAACTTTTTAAATAATTTATAAAAGATTTAAAATCGTATAGAATAAAAATGCACATACGTGGGAAAAGGATTGGAATGATCCGGAAGGTGGAAGATCAATAAGTTCTTGCTCTTGTTCTTTGGATCAGCCATGACGTCGAAGCCAAAGAAAACGTCATAGCCTAAATTTTTTTTTACCCTTGCGAGTTGTTCGATGTAACTAGTCGTTTTGTTAGTAATAGTCGCCGGAATGATGGGTAAATTTAATAACTCCAACAAATCGAATAGTGGTGACAAATTGAGTTCGTTCATGGAATCTGAAATTTATCTTCTTATAAGAAATATTCAAAATTAAAAAATAGTTACATATTTTAATAAATTTTACTGATTGTTATTTGTGTAATATATTATGTCAATTATGTTATAATTAACATATCTCCGATTATAGCAGCTCTTTCTTTGATTAACATCTACCTAATTAAACAAAAAGCAGCAACGTACGCACGTCCATGCAGCTGGTGAACAGAGTCTTGGCCTGCATCACTGCCCACGGTACCTCACTGGCAGAAATATTGACTTTTAGCAGATCTCTGATCTTCCTGGATACGCGATCGCTACGCTCGTTGAACCAGGAATTCGTCAGGCTGGAATCCGGAATAGGATGCTCCTGCGGCCATCTGCCGCATGCGTATCTAATGAAGAGAAAAAGAAAAAATGTTCACACATCATGAAGATAATTAGTAGTTTAATAAGTTATTTAAACAAATGGGTTAATAATAATAAGACATCTGTATTAATTAATACACTCTCCGACGAAATAACGTTAATTCGTGATATGTCTCGTACAAGCGAGTGAAAGTGAAACACGCGAGTGCAGTATTTGCGTAACATAAAAATAATAGATTTGCAGAGTGATAGAGAAATTGCGCGTATGGTATAATTTCACGAGATACGCATCAGTTACGTCCATTATACAATAATAGCACGACACGACAATAAATTTACTCACTGATAAAAATCGTCGCAAGGATCTATCGATTCGTTCATAGATTCCTTCAAACTAGCCGCTAGGTGAACAAAGAAGAATAAATAATTGTTTCCAGAATATAGTGATTGCCATACATTTTTTTTTCTTTTTATTGTTTATGGGTAATGTTTGTTCACGTTAATAATAGCGCAAGTAATATACATATAATCACCTGTTAGTATAATAACTGCATACTACTCACCTACTCGCACGCAATCCTCGCTATCACATATCTTCACCGTGGTGCTACATGCATCTGCAACAACAGTATGTACAAAATTTTAGAATTGTCAAGGACCTTTTCAATTTTATTAGTTTATCGCATCTTCCCAAATTTTCATACACATTGATGTAACTTATATTTCTATTTAATCATTTTAGATATTTATTTATTATTATGTTTTTAAATATTTTTAAATATTTGTACTTAAATATTTTTTAAGTATCTTTGGAATTAATTGAATTTTTAATTAAAATATATCGTTTCAATATTTATTATTTCAACATATTTATTTAAAAAAGTTTCCTGTTATTTTTATTATGCAGAAAACTACCAGATTTTATCGATAAAATTGTGGTTAAAAAATGTTCAGTAATTCTAAGTAAGGAATACTTTGAATAATATAAATTAAGTGTAGAAATCATGGCCACGTGGAACATAGAATATAGATCGTCGCATAATAATGAGCATACAACTTCTTGTTGAAGTTGTTACGTGGAACAACACGTGTGGGACGTCACGTTACACGATCTATACATAACCATGTTCGCTAAAATATTTACACAATGTCAATAGTGATCGAAGATGCTAAATGGTTTCCCAATAATTTGTCAAGGATATCTAATGTGATTGTAAGGAAATTAAAGAGAGATATGTCAAAGCATCGTAAGACTTGAGTAATTTCTTTTTAACTGAAGGGTATTTCCTGTTTTCATACCTGCTACCTAGGCTTATACCTACTATAATCTTGATAAAGTTAGCTCACAGTTGAAGGACTTATATACTACATATAAGACATAAGTTAATAAATGCGATGACATTTAACAGATTTTATCTATTTCTACTTCGATATTCTAACTCGTTTATGCATTATTATTTTTTAATATATTTTTTTCTTAACGCGAAGATATATTGAACAATATATTCTTATCAAAGCAATATATATCTTGTTTATTGGAGAATTAAGAATACAGGTATCCTCTACTTTTCGAAAGTTTGCTTCACGCCACTTTGCTTTTATGAAAGACCTACGTTAGTATCTATTTTTGCTAACTGAAATAAATCCGAAGAGGATTATCGCTTTTACGAAAAAAATTTTTGCCATATAAATTAATGCTTAACTGCTTCTTCGCTTTACGCCATTTCGGCTTACAAAAGGTTTCATAGAAACGCTCTATTTTCGAATAGCGAGGGAACCTGCGTATATAGATAATACTTTCTTGTGTGTGTAATAATTTTATATATATTATGTAATTTTAATATAAAAATTTTTAATATAATTTTATTTATAACGAATGAGATATGATAGAGAAGAAACTTACAAAGTACCGCGAGCACTACAACTGTTATCAACAAGGAACCCACCAGGAAGCAAAGAATTATTACCATCAGATTGGAAATCTGCGTCCGCTTCTTGAAGCTACAAACATAGTAAATCTAGTTAGCAGAGACTCAGATTGATCTACTTGCAATGAGTAAATATACGTTCCTCGTCTAATGAAGCGATTTAATCATTGGTTAGAAAATTGTCAATCTCGCGCTTTCTTACTTACAAAGTTTTCCTGGATCTTATCGGCACCAGGTGGTTCTGGCTTCCAACCGAGTAAACGGACACTTCATCTTCTAAGAAAAAAGAAAATATAAAAACAATAATAATAATAATCAGCCAATGAGACAAATTACGATATTATTCTAGAGAAGCAGCAATTAATACATAAATTTGCATATTAAAAAAAATTTGTTTATAATATATGTATATCTATTATTTATAATTATATTTATATATAATTATATTAGTTTTTAAATAATGAAAAAAATTAGTATGTATTGAAAACATGCATGAATTTTTTTATAAGTAGATAACAATATTATATATAGATATATATATCTATACATATATTATATATAGATATATATATATATATATATTTATTAGTTAAAATACTTTTTAGTTTATTGTAACTTTATACTTTCTTTTAAGAAAACCAATGTATTAAATTTAAATAATGATTACATTTACTAAAGATAAAATAAAAAGTGCAAAAGACAATTATCTCTATCATACATACATATTTAAACATTTAAACTGTAAAATAGTGTGTTATAAAAATTAATATTTCTTTCTGAAAAGTAATGTTAAAACTATTGAGCGATCTACATTCGTTAATGTAGGCCTCTATTTTCAAATAGCCTGGTTTTGTTATCGCACTATCAAAATAAGGTCATCTTTGCGCTCAATACGATTTCAAAAAGATAAAAGATAAAATAAAATATTTTTCTTGGAATATATTAAAATTGATTATTAATTTTTTTGCTCCCATTTGACTTAAACATTTCAAACAAACGAAATCAGTCTTTTTATATATAATCTTTCTATATAATTTTTAATATTATAAGATATAATAAATTTTTATGTTAAATATTTTTTAATAAATAATGCTTTTATTACTAATAGTAAGAATAAAGATAAAATTTTATTGTATACAAAATAATTAAATTAATTAAACAAGTACAAAATAAAATTTTTTACTATGATAAAATAGCAAGATCTATCTATAAGTTTCCTTTTTTATGCAATTTTCTACATTTTAGTTCTTCTTCCATCTTTCTTTTAAATTTTTCTCTTTTTTACATCTATTTTATTTCTTAATGTGGAAAATGTAAAACTATACAACTAAAAAAAAAGATATTATTATTAACAATTAAGAAAGCATCGTATAATTATTACGGTTATTTACGCAATTGTTATATTATTTTTATTATTATTACGTCCGTTAGTATCGGTATACCCGCGATCGTAGTTCGTATTATAGAAGGCATAACAGGCTCGTAATATAAAAACTGCAGAAACTTTACTTGACTTCAGCTTTAGTAAAATATCACCGGCTACGAGAACATTACCGGGTTATATACGGGTGCACCGGAAAAGAAAAGCTAGACAGGTTAGCGTATAAAAATATAACTTACTGCGCTCGTTGTTCATGCTGAATGGCCCACTGACCGGATCGAACTGACGACACTGAACACCGAGTCGAGTCGGACAGACAACGTCGGGTGTCCATACGTTCACATTTTCCCAGTGGTTCTCGTACCTCGTCGTCGAACCAATAACAACGGCGACGGAACATCAATTTTCCCATCCGACCATCCGCGATAACACTCACGCGCCTGCGAGAAATGGACAACACCCGGTATCTTCCGACCACCATCGATAGCGAGCCTTCAATCCTTCCGATACTATCGAGCATGATAGTTCATACACGTGTCGAGGATAAATCGAAAAACTCCAATGGGAGTGAAAAAATTAGATTAAATAGGGATTTCTTTTATTGTAAATTCTAAAATGTGTATATATTAATTTAGAAAAAAATTACAAAACTTTTTATTTAACGTAGTACAGAAAAAACTCAAACGTGTCACATAAAAAAATAAACTTTTTTACAAAAACTTTTTACAAATTTATTTTATCAATTTTATAATATATTTTTTTATTAAAAATTAAAAAAAATTTATTTTTAATTATTCAACATAATACTCTTAATTTTTATTTTTACATATAATTATATTTAATAAAATTTTCATATGTTTCTACATTTTTTTTAACTCTTTTTTTACTCTGTTATTTTTGTAATTTTTATAATTGTATAACTTTTATTATACAAAATAAAAATAATTAAAACTTATTATGAATGCATATGCATTTACACGATGCAATTACAGCTATCTGCTACGATAAACGTTGAGAAAATATTATTACTACAATGTTTTCAAAGAATATTTGTTCTATAAATATAAATGCACGTGTGTAACTTGAAACGTGTGGCCGATATCGTCGTTTTTCTTTTGAAATCTTAATTCATTTGGAGTTCAATGCTGACTAATCGTAAATCAATGAATATTGCTGTTATATATGTTCGCTCTCCCATTTATGTCTACGTCACGAATCGGATTAGAAATCGTGCTTGACTTGTCTCGTGAATGGCATTTGCCTATATATCATTTAAAGCAGCATAAATATAGAATAATTTAGAATAGAACAAAGTGATAAATAAAAATTTAATCTTAACGTTCTCATAAAATTACATTCTTAAATCAAATTATATCCATATAGGTATATATCTAATTCAAATCGTATGCATTTTCTGAAAATAATGTTAACTAAACATGAATAGTGAGAATAATAAGTGTGACCCTAAGCCTTTTACTCTCCTTTCAAATCACTTTATCTCGTACGAGAATAAATTTCCGCGGGCGAAAATGAAATTGTAACGATTTCGTAACGACTTCCGTTACTTCCACTTTGCGCAAAGTGAAATCCACCTTTCGCACGCGATCGGTCGTGTCGTGGCGATCGGATTACAACAAACGAAACAATTAACAATTATTATTACGATATGCAGCACGGGCAGAGTTGGCACAAGCCTTCCTTAGCGAGCTATAGCCACGCTATTAGGAATCTCCGCTTGCGCAAAAGCACTTCCTCAAGGTAGTTACGAAGTACAGTAAACGTTTATGTAATTTTACTTCCGTCGCAAACTTCTAACCGCATATAAGTCTCATTGTACTTTCCAGTCTCGCTCAAGAACAAAGTTCTAATTAAAGCAATCATACGTCAAATCCAAAGATATAAGCAAGAAGAGAATATCTTCTTTATTAAAATTTATCTATAAAATAATATTACTATTAAAATAAAATTGATAAGCAATACTGATCATATTATTGTACTGCTACTACTCTACTCATATGCCTCACACATGTAATTTTTTAATAATTCTCCTGCTTACAAAAATAATTATAAATTTAATCAAGTTTTTTATTTTGCGAAGTAAATTTAGAATATAAATAGCAAAACACAATAAATTATAATAATAATAAAATTAATTAATTTTTTACGTAAAATAAAATTATTAAAAAATTTTATACATAATTATATTAATATTAACTATAATATTTATAATATTATTATTCTATTAATTTACAATTAGATTATTATTAATGCAACTAAGGATTAAATGAGAATAGAATTGCATGCTAATTATACAAAAGTTGAATCAAAAGGACTGATAAATGATTAATAATGGCTATCGCATAATAATTGATCACATTGTTATAAAAAGCTGTCATCTCAATATCGTAGTTAAGATATATGAAATATCAAAGTGACAGGACATGTCAAGATTGCTCGTAGCGCACGTGCAGCGGGCGGCGTCCGAGGAAACACGTTTTATCGCGGAAAAACGTTTATTACGAAGAGAGAAAGTATGCAACAACGTGTGCTACGTAATGCACCGCATGCTACATTCATTATTCATGCAACCGCTCTATCGGATAGATAGCGTGTGATCGCGTATTCGCGAACGTGCTCCCGTTATTGGGGAAGTTGCTCCAGTTCCTTGGTAAGCGGTCAATAGAAAGGAAATTTATTTCGAGTGGTACCTGCTGCTCGTCCAGAATTATTATGATTTCGAGACGACAGAGACACGAATATGACGTTACAATCGATAACTGCCTCACGAACGAAAGCAAATCGATTAAGAAAACCGACAACCCTTCTCGTGACATTTACGAATACCTTAAATATTCCTTATTTAAAAAAATGACTTGGAAAAACGTGAAAAGATGTTTATGCTTAAATTAATAAAATTTAAATAGAAAAACAATAGCAAGAGCCGGATAAAGCCTTCCAATTTTTAAAGTTTGACAATTGAAGATGCATTTCAAGTCTTGTTATGGTGTTTCGCTCGCCATAAACTCTCAGTGCATATCATTCAATGCATTGCGCATCATTTAATGCATAGCGTAATCCGTCAAGATAAAATATTGTGCCGAATACATGTCTCGATTGCCATATAAACTCGAATAGATTCTTATCCAAATGCGATTGAGATTCGAGCATTAATAGTTCCCCCGGTTGATCGAGGGGATACATTTGATACATTTGTCGGGATAGTAATCAAGATTTATCGTCGTGAAATATGTGCTACTGGTGCAGACTGGGCGACTGGGAACCTAATTAAATGCCCGTGCATGTAAATTATTATATAGATGCTAGTGTCACGCTTGCTTACTAGCAAACTCTACGCTCCAATGATTATTACCTGACTGGGGGCAGGGCTTGATCATTAACAGGGGCTCGATTAAAATCGGCGATACGCCCCAACCGGTTCGAACGTGAGACGTTTCGGTAGTTATCAGTTAAACATTAACACACATATAACCTATGATTTAATCTATACGATATAGTAATGTACAGTATAGGGCATTCTGGAATTTAGTTTGTTTTCATCACTTTCTCTTCTCATCGATTTCGAAAAAAAAAATATATATTCGACAGTAACAAAAATGCCGTTAAAATGAACTTAATAAATATAATAACAGTTTTCTAAAAAAAGTTATTTTAGTAAAATGAAAAACTAACATTAAAATTATGAATAAAAAAAAATTAGTAAAAATACAGAGATTAGAAGATATTGCAGGTAGATGAAAGTTAATAAAAAATTAATAAGAAATTATTAAGAGAAGACCGATAATAAAGTAGGTTTAATGAAGCAACATAGGATTAATATTTTAAAAAGTGGATTGCGTAAATAGGCGACTTTGCGACCGCAATAGATAGATAATATACCTCGCGTGATCGCATTTTGGGGCCATAACGATTCTCTTTTTACGCTGCCGTTGCAGCGCGAGGAAACGACTGCCTATCCATATGCAGAAAAAGCTTGTCGCAAGCAATAATTCCGCAATGCACCTGGCTGCTGCAGCATAATTGTATATTTGCCAGTCGACTACGCACAGCTGCGAACTGAACGGCGATGTTTTATGAGAAACATCTGTTTTCATACATTATTTATTCCAGATTGGCTGGCATTCTACATTCTCGAGCTTCAAACGGAAAAATTGAAAATCTCTGAGCGACGTGCAGTGTAATTATGAGTGGGTGGGCAACGTGGACTCTCCAACATGCCGCGGTTAACGTTCACTTTGCTGCAAATAGCTCGCTCGTGCCATTTCAGAAAATTAATTGGAGAATGTAAGAATTTTCAATGGGATACCGTCATATCTATTTTAATTTCACCTTAAGGGGATATATCTAGCTCATATTACGTTGTTAAAGAATAAAATAATTTTCTGATCTATATTTAAAACTCTGAATTCAAAAGAGTCAACTTTAGAAAATAATTCTGTTTTTAAAAAAAGGATTAGCTTAGGAATTTAATTAATTTCAAAATTAATATATACTATTAAAATAATTAAATAAATTTAAATAGTTGTTTAATTTAATATTACAACTTTTCCAGTTTGATTTAACGTTTTATGTAATTTTTTTCAAAAGCCTGTACTCAATAAACGTGCGCACAAAAACGCAGCTCTAGTTTGCTTTCTCTCGCGCGAGCATTCGAGGATCTTCATATATAAGAATTCACGAGAACGTAACGCATTGCTAACATGCGCTAGCGCGATTACTAGCCGAAATGATTGCATAATATTCACGAACGGAGTAGAAATAGAGCAAAACGATCGTCGTACAAACAAGAACATATACAATCGGTGGAACGATCGCGCGGTCGGATATCGTGTCCCTTTTTCCATGGAACAGTTTCACCGAGGTATGTATAATTCCTCCTTTCCTGTTGTGCAATCGTTAGCTCGAAGCAAGCGGCGCCCAGAGTGTTTTCCGAATGAACGAACGGGCCGTAAAGACACTCGTAAAACTCATAGAAAAGCACCGACATGATGCTGAAATCGGGCGGTGCGACCGCAAGCGATTCTAAGAACCTAACAAGATTAATCAATCGGCTGAATTTGTCGGCATGTTTTATCAATGATTTTGCTTCTTTAATAAAACCTATTAAAATAGATATCTAATAATAAATATATAGAAAGAAGATAGAGACGCCAATTATTAATTAATGAATGAGCGAATAATTTTTAATACAATATAATTACTTCATTATGCTATGCTTTAGTATAGTATTATATTAAAGAAAATTAACAGATTTTGTGAAAACGTTCGACACAATCATAAGGACCTTAAAATTAATTCGAACAATTCCAATATGTAACTGTTAAGAATTGCTACTCATCGAAACATATCACCATTGACAAATGTACAAGGTTATTTTAAAAGAACAGCACTTATCGATAAAGATTTTAACGAAAATTTTTGCGACATAACAATTAGTGTCAAAAAGAATTCACTGAAAGAATCCGTGTAATAAATCTGAAGATATCATTTTAAAGTAAATATTTAAAAAAAATTTAACACGATTAAA